GGGGCCGTAGCCGAAGTAAAATATGTGACACGGAGTCACTGTGGCCGGAGCCGAAGTAAAACACTTGCCCAAATTTAAACCAAAGTTAAAATGTGCAAAAGTGGGGAGGAATGTTGGAATGGGCTTAAGTGGGCCCAGCTGAGAAGTCTGACTAAGACGTGACAGCTGTCCGCTGAATGACGTGCGTAATAAATGCCGTTGTAAAAAAGGATAACCTCAACAGTCCAATGGGCAGATTTAAAAAATGAACCGTCAAATTCGAAACGGTACCGTTTGGGTTTAACCGTTGAATTCGAAACGGTACCTTTGCAGCCGTTAGATGGGTTAATCGCAGCCGTTGAGGCGTATTATGCCTTTGGTATAAAAGTCTATACCTCTGTGAAAGGGACTTTTTTACTTTCGTTTACTTTGCTTCGAATTTCCTGCTGAATCGCTACTAAATTTCTGCAGTTTCGTGCGGTTTGCGCTTCAATTCAGACTTCAACAACAGTTTCCAGGACCTACATTAGGTAAAGTTTACGAATTTTTTGTTTTGGTTTTGTTAAAACGCTGTTCTCCTTTCTCCCTTTCTATGGTTGATTTTGGGTTTTTTGGAGGGAAATTAGGGTTGAGAGTGAAAATGTATTGAGTGTGTTCGAATTGTTAAGGATCCTGACTTCGTCACTCCTCCCCCTGTATGCAGAAATTGAGATGTCTTCAGACGAGGCTAGGAGTGTAGTGGGAAGTGAGGTAGTGCCGTTGGAGTATGGTGGCATGGATTCGGAGACCAGTCCGTCTCCAACTAGCTCGGAGAGGACGGTGGGGGATAGAATGGAGCAAATAGTAATAGAAGAGGAGGAGGATGAAATCCCCTCAAACATTTTGGAGGCCGGGAATGGCGTAGATGGGTGTTATGACCCAGATTTAGAGGTAGTGGCCGAGGTGAGGGGATATGTGAGTGAGCTGGGTAGTAGGGATAGCCTAAGGGCCCTTGTGGGTAATTGCAACCTTCCTCATCACGTCCTACTTAGACCTGCCGGGGTGAATGAGAGGGCCTGCTCAGCACCCCGCGATCATTGGATGCCCATATACGTGCATTATTTGATGGCAGGGCTTAGGTTTCCCATTCCAGAATTATTGGTTGGGTTATTATTAGAGTATAGTATAGGAATAACCCAACTAACTCCAAATGCCATGAGGGTAGTAATAGGTTTTCTTGTATACTGCAGAGTTCGGGGGATTTTGCTCAGACAGAATTTCTGAAATTTGCACTTCAGTTCGGCTATCAGAGCCACATATTTCACCATCACAGGATCAATGACTTCACAGATTGAGTTAATTTGGTTCACCACCAGCTGGGAGTCATTGTATACTTGGATTTCACTGAGTTTTAATTCCAATGCTAGCTGAAGACCAAGTAGCAGGGCTTCATACTCGGCCATGTTATT